CCCCGCGCGCGGGGGACCGGCCGGGGCGCGGGGGGCGCCTGCCGAGGGGACGGTCCCCGTGTGGGGGGGGGTGTGTGTGTGGAGCAGGGGGGAGAGGCGGTGAGGGAGGAGGGGGCCGCTCCGGAGAAGGGCACCCAGCCTTCTAGCGGAGGGGGCCCCTGAGAGGGTGTTTTCTCCCCCCCTTCCCCCCCCCCCCCCGAAGAGATATTTCAAACAAGAACGCCAAAGTTCCTGCAGCTATTAGCCCAGCATCTTGGTGTACTAGCCACAGAGCAAAGTACGCAAGCTGCAGATGTTTCCCACATTGCTAATTCACGCTGTGCAGAGAGAAAGAGAGGCGAGATCACAGCCCCATGTACTGACCAGCAGTTTTCTCTCCTCCTCCAGCAGCCCTTTCAATGACCGGCCAATGTGCAGGATCTGCCACGAGGGCAGCAGCCAGGAAGACCTGCTTTCCCCCTGCGAGTGTACGGGGACCCTGGGGACCATTCACCGCAGCTGCCTGGAGCACTGGCTGTCATCTTCAAACACCAGCTACTGTGAGCTCTGCCACTTCAGGTTTGCAGTGGAGCGCAAACCCAGGCCACTGGTGGAGGTCAGTGGACAGGGCACATCCCCCAAAGCTTGGCTTTAATGAGCAAATCATGTTTCTTCTTATATTGTGTAGGCATTGCAGGTCCTTTGCAGCTCTGCTGAAGGCAAAGCAAGCTGTGAGTTTTGGGCTTGGCAAGATGAGGGCAGGGGATCAGGGAAAGGGCAGGAGTAACAGAACCCTTATTTTGAACCAAATTAAAGCAAGCGAGAAGAATGGGGTTGATGGGTTTGCTTCACTGTAAGTGTGAGTGAAGATTTGGGAAACAGTGTGCAGCGAATTCCTAATATAACAGCCAGCTTGGTAGAAGATGGAAGAGAGGTAAGTAACAGTTTCTGTGGAATGTTGAGACAAGCGTCAGTATCCAGCATATTAAATATAGGTCAGGAGTATTTTTTTCCTTGCTTTTGAGAGAGAGGTAGCAAACTGAGGAGCCTTAGACACATGGTTTCCATGTCAAGCCCACAAGAGAGAATTGTTCTTGCTCTGTGTCTGACATGTTTAGCCATTTGTGAGTGACCTTTTGGCCTCCTTTTGCCTGTGTACCAGACTCAACAGTGAATTGGACAATTGTTTCTCCTTTATCAATTAAAATTCCGGTTTTGCCAACTATAGATGCTTTAGCGGCTGCATGGATTTTGACAGGTTGGGTTTTTTATTCTCAGGAAAAGAAAATAAAGAAAAAAAAGCCAAGATCACTATATTTACGCTGTTAATGGTCCTTCTCCTCTGCTGTTTTGATTTGGAAAAAAATGTAAAAATTATGCTTTGTGTTGGAATTAAAAGGGAATTACAAATAATAACATTTTACAAAAGCGATGAGAAGCATCTTATTGTACCAGTTGGTGATACAGGTGCTTACATGCTAAGCCTGGGCTCTACAGCGTGTCCTTCCTGTGCATCTTCATTTTTCCTGTAAAATGCAGCCCACCTGGTTGAAACGGATACAGTATTAAAAATAAGGGGGAGGGGAGGCATCTTGTTTTGCGCTTATTCACAGACGAGAGGATACAGGATAAACCTGACTGCTGGGAAGTGGGTTGGGGCCCGTGCAGAGATGGGGGTAAGCAGTTCTCATTGAGGACTACCAAAATTGCTTTGTGCTGGATTAATTTAGGCACGCGCATTTCGTGGCTAAGCCTAAGGATATCTTCATTCTTCCTTAAGATCAGCAAAAAACCAGAGATGCACGACACAGTAGTTAGCACAAGACCTGCTTCCAGCAGGACTCCAGCCTCTCCCGGGAAGCTGGTCCCAGCTTGAGAAATGCTGCCGTTGAGTGTTCTCAGGCTGTCACCAACTGAGCAGCACAATTTTTATGACTGAGCATCCTCCAGTGAAGACGATGACATCTTCATTCATCCAGCTGCTCTGAGACTGCGCCAAGCAGCTTTCGGTTGAGTTTTGGCGCGAGGACGATGCCACTCTGAATTTGCCTTCTGAAAAGAAAGATAAGCGCTGCTGAGGCAGTGCAAAGTAAGCAGTTGGATTTTAGAGTGCAGCTTCCTCAAGCCGTTCCCTTGCAAGAGCTGCCTGAGACCCTTGCTTTGCACAAATGGGACCTGACATTGTTCAGAGCTAATGATGACTGAAGAAGTTGAAAGCAAAGCTGGGGGATCTGGTCATTTGATCGTTCACTGATGAAGTGAGGCTTCTTTTTGGCAAAAGCGGTAATAAATAATAACAACAACAACAATAAGAACAATAATAATGATAAAGCTGTCTTTTGTTTCTCAGCTGTCGACAAATGAGGAGCAGGTGCAAGAAAATTTCTGAAACACAGTACACATTGTTAACTGATGTTTTTCTCTTTAGTACCTAATCTTTTTTTGCTTCTCAGCTGTCATCCCCACAGTATTCTAGTGCAGTAATCAACAATTACATGCAGTTGCAGAAGAGGTCTTAAAATGTGATCTTATACAAGCCCTATATTTTCAGTTTAGTAGGGAATTGAAACTTTACTTTTAAAGTTGAGAGCAGCAGAGACAAAGAGTAACTAAGACAAGTTATATGCAAGGGGAAAAATCAGTCAAATTTCTAGATTTCTGTTAGTATAATTTAAGTTTGTCCTTAAAGTTTGTACTTAGTTAATACACAGTGCTTAGAAATCCAAAAACATCTCGATGTAAGTAATTAAGTGAATCTGAAACTTTCCAAAACATGACTAAAGCAGATGCAAGTTGCCAGATTCTTGCATCTTCTCTGTCCTAAAAGCACTGTCCTGTCTGTCTCCCTGTATTTCCTGGAGTATAAGGGCACGGAGGGAGGTGTATCAGGCATAGTAGGACTGTCTTTTGCAATAGTCTGCTGTAATTTTTGGACAAGTGACAAGCCAGACTGGCCACCTGCTTTTAACTTGTGTGTGTGGTGGTGTTTGTTTGTTTGGGGAAGGGAGGGAGCACGAGGAGTCTCTTTATTTAGTAAGAAAATTAGTTCTCCAAGGATTTCTCTGAACAAGATAGTAGAAATGGTAAATGGTCCTTTCAGTGGAGGTGAATGATGAGTTTACCAATGTATTTTAGGAGGTCAAGAGGGACTATTGTACTCATAAAGTCATTTGTAGAGCATACTGTATAGGAGCTTATCCAGTAACTCCTGAGCAGGCCCTATCTCATGCAGAGAATATGTCCCATCCATTGGTCAGTGACAGGTAATATAAAAAACGCTTGAAGGAATCAGTCATCACATTCATCTTTTCTCCGAGAGATTTTCCATCAGGAAAGAAAATGGTATTTCTGACTATTCAAAGACATATCAGGCACTTTCTTTAAGGGGTCACAAAAAAAGCAAACACGGTATTACAGTTTCTTCTCATCCCTTCACTGGATTGATCACTACTTAGCGGCTTAGCCGTGGGTGTGAAGGAAATCTCAATGGGAAAAAAATGAGATACTTTACTTGCTTTATGTAGAAGTGTCACATCTGACTTCATTCCTGCTGTTAGCACCCAGTAGTGGGCTTTAGATGAAGTGAGCAGTCAGTGGCACGGCTGGTTGTTCAGCCATATTCCTTCATTGTTATGGAAGCAGCAGAGGATTTCTTGCTGTTCTTCATGATTGCATCAGTACAGGCTTGCGAGCCCAGAGCATTTCTCCCCCTGTACCCTTCACCATGTTGTTAGTTTGCCATTAGTTCATTATGAAATGAAAGCAAGTGCTCCATAAAAATTTGTTGCAAGATGGCTTTTTGCCTTCTTTGAAGCAGTTGCCCATGTTCGCACTAAGGATGTGGGCCCATGCAGTCAAACAGTTCTTTAGCTCAGGTACAAGGGACGTACCTACAACTGTATCCTGCCTCCTGCGTACATCACGCATGGGATGCAAAAATGCAGGGAGCTCACCTTTGCTTTCTCTTCCCAACTTATGTTGGCCACAGCTACCTCTTTTTTCCAGGATTTCTTTTGCAAGGGAAAGCGAAGGAAAAATAGCATTCTTTTACACCTCCATTTCTTCTTTCATCCTTTGTGTCTTTTGTCCATCATAAGCCTCTCTCTGGTCATCTGAGTTTCAAACACTGTATTTCTCAAGGGAGGCATTCCTTTATCTGTGCTAGAGGACATGTTTTTTGTTGTCTGGGCGAGAAGCATCTCCCAATTTACTATTTGACGCCCAAAACCCAACCAGAGAGGCAGGAAACAGTAGTACAATCTGTCAGGCAGAGCCGTCCTCTCAGCATTGCATTTGTGAAGCTTCAAACATTCTTGGACCACTTGTTTTTTAACTCAGATTATTTTCTCCAGAAGAATTGCATTTCTGAACCATGGGATTTACCCCTCCATCAGTGCTCAAGGAAAGTGATATATGATTGCTGTCTACCATTTATTTCTTTTGCCTCCGGCTATATTGGGTGAAGGGACTATGTGACTTGTCCTTCGTCAAGTCAAAGAAGCACACACCAGAGAATGCACACTTTATCAATGATCTGGATGAGGGGATCGAGTGCACCCTCAGTAAATTCGCAGACGACACCAAGCTGGGTGGCAGTGTCGACCTGCTGGAGGGTAGAGAGGCTTTGCAGAGAGATCTGGACAGGCTGGATGGATGGGCCGAGACCAACGGGATGAGGTTCAACAAGGCCAAGTGCCAGGTCCTGCACTTGGGTCACAACAACCCCAGGCAGCGCTACAGGCTGGGGGCAGAGTGGCTGGAGAGCTGCCTGGCAGAAAAGGACCTGGGGGTGTTGGTCGACTGTCGGCTGAACATGAGCCAGCAGTGTGCCCAGGTGGCCAAGAAGGCCAACAGCATCCTGGCCTGTATCAGGAACAGTGTGGCGAGTAGAGCCCAAGAGGTGATTGTCCCCCTGCACTGGTGAGGCCCCACCTTGAGTACTGTGTCCAGTTTTGGGCTCCCTACCATAAAAAAGACATTGAGGTGCTGGAGCAGGTCCAGAGAAGGGCGACAAAGCTGGTGAGGGGTCTGGAGAATAAGTCTTATGAGGAGAGGCTGAGGGAACTGGGGTTATTCAGCCTGGAGAAGAGGAGGCTGAGGGGAGACCTTACTGCTCTCTACAACTCCCTGAAAGGAGGGTGTAGAGAGATGGGGATTGGTCTCTTTTCTCAAGTCACAGGTGACAGGACAAGAGGAAATGGCCTCAAGTTGCACCAGGGGAGGTTCAGGCTGGATATTAGGAAAAATTTTCTCACTGAAAGGGTTATCAGACATTGGAATGGGCTGCCCAGGGAGGTGGTTGAGGCACCATCCCTGGAGGTGTTCAAAAGATGGGTTGATGAAGTGCTGGGAGGTATGGTTTAGTGATGATGCTCCTTGTTTGTTGTGTGGGTGTCTATTTTTGTCAGTTAGTTTGACAGTTGGACAAGATGATCTTTAAGGTCCCTTCCAACCTAGAAGATTCTGTGATTCTGTGATTTGACCTCCTCCCTGCGTGTTTGTTAAAGGTTGGTCAGCCAAAAGGACTGGTCTCCTTTACAGTTCCTTGTATCCATGCTGTTGGCCTCCCTGTTTCAAATATGCCCTTTCTGATTTGACAGTTGTCAGCAAGAATTG